TATATATATTTATGTATATTTATATATCCATTGGATTAAGTGCCATATCTAGAAACATCAAGATATTTGAGAGTCTAACAGTCCAGAAAAGACCAGACAGAGTTTGTGAAGTCCCCAGTCAGATAGAATGTCCAATTTTCATGAAAGTGCTTTCAGAAATCCAGTCAGGTACCTAAATACTTCAGAAAAATCTGTTTTCTAAATGCTGAAAACTAAGCATCAAAACTAGTAAAAACTCATTGAAAATCCATACCTTTGAACCCTCCAGCCATCCCGCAAACCAGCAGAAACCTGCCTTAATCCAAATGCAAGGGTATTGAAACACTTTAACACTACACTGCTATCACTTTCTCCTGTATTCTTATCAGATGCATATTTACACAGATCTTTCAGAAACTTCAAAATTAGTACACATATTTCTTCCTAAGAACAAATCGGTGGTACAAAATTATTTCCTTACTTTTGGGAGCGAAGCTCTCGATCCTGAACTTTGCGTGGTCATTGTCAAAACTGTAGTGATACCCAGTGCGACTCTAGCTGGAGCAGCATCCATGTTGATCCAGAAAGAAACCCAGGACAAAATGACAATCAGCAGGCTAGGAATGTACATCTGGATTAAATAGTATCCCATCTGACGCTCCAAATGAAACTTGACTTCAATGCATGTAAACTTTCCTAGAACATGAAATTACTTTCATAAATGCTTTTTGTACATTTTTATCTTGTTTTCTGAACATAAGTTAGATGAATGGCCAGTTTCCTAACCTAACACTGTAAGCAGCTCCTGATACACAAATGCGAGCCAGACATTTGTTGCACGCTAGCTTGCGAGACGCATGGGACCCCTGACTCACATGAACTGAGAAAATTAATATTAGCACGGTTGTTTCACTTCTGAAAAATACAATGTAATGTTTCTTTTCTCAAATTTTAATAAGACTTTACTTTAGTCAAATATAATGTTTAGTATTAAAAGGGGACAGCATTTTTCTCTTTTAATTACGTGAGATTAAGCAAATGTACTTAAACAGACAAATTGTAAACAATTAGTCTTACAGTCCTATGGTAGATCACACCCCTTCTCCTTCTGGTCATGTCATTTGCCTGTGTCTGTGGAATGTTTCTCACAGCAAAATCAACTCAAAGCCCGCTTTGAATTTCGCTCCAGGAAACCCACAACCATCTCTTGCGGGAGGTGAGTGATTCTTCAAACAACAAATAGCTGCTCCACAAGGCTGGCAGAGGACAGTTTAGGATTGCCTAACAGGGGAGCTAGCCGTGCAGTGGCGGATGAAGAGTCCCGAGTTACAACAGTTCATCAGCTACTAATCCAATCACTCTGTGCTGCTCTCCAAATTACTGTGTATCCTGACTGTGGTTTAGGTACTGTGAAGGCTCTCACTCGGGGCAGACTAATCCAAGTACAAAAATGTCTGTCCTTCCTGAGATGTCATGCTAATGGTTTCAAAGGGCCCCTTTCGTCCTGGTTGATCAAATGCTTGAAGATGCATTTTTTCATCCTTTTTCATCCTTTCAGATGAAATTAGATTTTTTGCTCCTTTTTGTGATGCATGCATATTTTTTTGCTATTCTAGAAAGCTGAATGGCAGGGTGCGAGAGTTGGCATAAAGGACAATGCAGAGATTGTTTGGCAGAGAGGAGGGGAGAAGAAATGAATAATATCTTTTGGCAGGACAGAAGCTCAGATATGAGTGCCCTGACCTGTTGAGTTGCCTGACCTGTGGATAGCAACTGATCCTGACCGGTCTGCCCATACAGAAGGGGACTCAAAAAGTGTGGGTGGCCATGGGTGGCAGCAATGGCATTAGAATAGCCCAATCTGCCACATGCTCTGGCCAGATTCCTGCAGTGCAACCTGGACAGAGCGCCTTGCAGTGTGGGTGGGAGGAGAAGGCTGAATAATACAGCTTTTATCCACATTTGAATTTCACAACCTGAGGGATCCATGAAGGAGCATGCTACAGAGAAGACAGCAATGTGGGTGCCTGTAGGCAAAGTTTTCTTTTGCTTGAATACTGCTTTTCAGTTCCCCTGGCCAGGATACACACTTTTAACTTTTGGTTATTAGACATTCATTTTGTTTAACTATATGTAATGGGAGCTATTAATTGACATTTTTATCTTTGTGGGGAATCTTCATGGGTATACAAGGAAGCTATTGCTCATGCTCTGCCCCCTCTCTTACTTTCAGTGTTTGACCCTGCAAAATGGTTATCTGACAGTAATTAGAAAAGCAGATGAACTCACTTATTCAAAGTTGGAGTTATGTGCTGTGAAATGGCTAAACTTTGTATCAGGCAAATTACAAATGGGTAAGCTCTGTCTATTGGAATTTATTCTCGATTACCCCCTTTAAGTGTGAGAAAAGATGAGAAGTCATAGCAGTCCCCCTTTCCACGGGTCTTGGACTGTGGAATCACAAAGTTTTCCTTCCTTGGCACTTTAAGCCCCAAAATGAGAAGCTGTATTTGTAAAAATGAAAAACAATAATTTTCTCTTCATAAGGAATGAATGTGACTTATTTTTGGCAGAGGCAGAACCTCTCATGTGTTATTTCACAGAATGAAACAAATGTATTTGATGCAACCAGATTGGCTCTTATGCTGAAATGATGAAAAAGCTATTTTAGATGAGAGGGATTATATCTAATCCCAGAAAGCACCCAGCAAAGCATTCTCTAAATGCTGTATCTATTAAATAAACTTCAAGCAGCTAAATCCAAATTTTAAGAGAGTTCTCTCTGCTCTGTAAATCTAAAGACAGAAAACACAGCATTTGAAACTTCAAAATAGCAAATATAGGAAAAAGATTACAGTATTAAGCAAACATTTAATTTCCAACATTTCAGGTCTGTACACTCCGATCAGCAATGAAAGCATTGTCTTTTCAAATACTACATTTCATAGGTTAGACTACACATAAAAGCTGGTGAAAATTTGTTATTTTTCCCCATTGGCACTTTGATATGCTGAAGAAATAAATCAAGTTCAGAAAAATCAGTACTTTAAAAGTACTGAATCAATATTTAAGAAAATATTCAGTTGGTTAAACAAAGTTTCATTTTAAGGAAATCAAAACAACTGGATTTTTTAAACAGTTTTTAAAGATTTTAAATTCCTTAATGATTTTAAGGATATTAGAATATGTATATTAGAATATCTTTAATGAAATTAAAGGAAATTTGGAAACAAAATCTTTCAAACAAACAAAAATAAAAGGGAGAAAATTTCATTTTTTAAGATTTAAAAATAAAAGTAGCTGAATCAAATTTTAATTTCAATTTTTTTTTCATTTTTCCCATCTTTTCCCTTTACAAATTGACAACAGATACCACTAGAGCAATTAATAGAAAAAAATAGAATAATGCTCACCAGTGTTGTAATGTTTTGTGCAATAACCAAGTTCTTTATCTTCTTTCAAAATAAACTGTGGCAAGGTTAAACCCTCTGCAACTTGCACAGGACCATCACTTAACCACTCAAATATCAGATCATTCATAGTGTAGCCAACTACAATAAAGAAATCAGAGTTTGTTAGATGGTAACTGACTGGAAAACATCAAAAGCAAATATTATTATGTCTGAGAAGCATATCTTTTATTGCAATACATGTTATCTCAGTTATGTTTTTAAGCTGTCTAATTAACAACAGCACTATTGCTGTTAGTTACCAGTTACTGTTACTGCACTATTACCCTATTAAGAGCAACAAGTAACACCATTATGTTCTGAAATACTGCCCTGGTTTGCCACTAAAAAATAACTTTGCTGGCCCATCAAAGATACTGTTTACAACTGAAATGACATTTCTCTCTGCCTATGTATCAGCCTGCATTTTGCTTTATTTTCATCATTCTTCGGTGATGCAGTTGGTGGACACCAACAAAACAAGGATTACTAGACTGCAGAAAGCTGGGCCCTTACCGAAAAGAAAACTGAAGCTTTTGTAAACCTGTGAACCTACCACCGAGAGGCGCGGAGCGGAAAGAGAGAGGCTTCAACTCACTGAAGTCTCTTTTTGACTGCAATGGCTACATATTTATGGGTAAATTAAACAAGCTGTGTGCTGACACACTTAAACGAGGTACAGCCACGCGGTGCGGATGAGTGTGTGCCGGTACCCAGGTCCATGCCTTGGCCCTATTTAGCTTACTAGCCCAAGCGTACCTACAGGACTTCTGCTTCATCAGGTATGTTGCTTCCATTTTTCAAAAGACCATAGCATGTCTTGATCAGACATAGCTAACCCCTGGCTGTTTACTAACTGGTCTTACTTTCCTGAGATTTGATTTCTTCTGCACAGCATCGCTGTGGTTATCCCCGGAGGAGATGCAGCCCTGATGGGTGAGGTGATGTGCCCCGGGAAGGGGAAAGGGAAGGGAGCAGGAACAGCACAGAGACAGGGGACCCGCACAGTACAGCGGTGGACAGTTGAAGCACCGTTCCTCCGTGATTTTCCCTTACAAAATAGGAATATTGAGTCTCACCACACAAATACGACAATGTAGATACTGTCTAACCACCGAATGTTACGGTAAAATCTTGTTCTTCGCGAGATAAAGCAATTGGACACTCACAGCTCTCTAGCTGCATTGTACATGTCTGTACATCCATAGGAAAATTCTTCAAGTCCATGGGACAGGATAAGGTTAAAGTAAGCCTAAAATTGGAAGGGGAAAAAAAAAAGAAGCTATTGTTAGAAATCTACAGGTTTTATCCAAAGCTCCATATTTAGAGTTTAAAGGATCAAAACCAAATCTTAACGTCTCAGAGGCTGGACTTACTCTCCCCCCCGAGCTTTTAAGGACATAAGAGCTGTGAAGACAGAGCGGGTAAGCAAACCAGGCACTCGCTGGCTGCATTGGCTGAGCAGAACAGGGACAGAGAAGACAACATCAAGATAGCAAGAAATGCTCTCCACTAATGCACCAGTGAATGTTTTATGTATAATACTGAACCCAGATAATGCAAAAGCTGAAATGACTGGTCATGGGACTCATATTTTTAAGCTTTGTTTTGGAAAAGCAAAGGAAGGAAACAACAACCACGGGGTTTTTTCAACAGAGAGTGCTTTTATTGTGTATGAAGCCCATTTCCAACCCTTCATTCTTACTGTTTAGTCATTAAAAGAAAGAAAAAAACACCATACAGTAAAAGCTAGAATTACATAGCATTAAAAGATAAAGAGTGCAGACAGAAAAAAGTAAGCCTAAAGGAACATTATCATACAAACTAAATTTCTCTTTTAATTTTTAAGTTGTTATTGTCCCAGATAAGGCATAATTTTACTTGGATGGGAATATTCTTAATGTTTCTTTCTTTCTTCTTTTTTTTTTTTTAGTTGTTTACTTTTTCTCATTTGATTGAAATCTGTTTCAAGACTTCTCCTCTGCTTTATTTCTGTTCTTGTATGTGTGGGGAGAAGAAACAATTTTTAACAAACCAAGATACTGGGATGACATAATTACAAACAACTAGCTGCTTTGAAAAACAGAAGAATTGTTAAGATTTTGGGTTAAGTCATATAAAAAAAAAGAGTACATTTTTAGTTCATATTACCTTCAGCACAAAAACCACTTTGACACAAAAAAGGCAATTAAACCAAAACCTCTGCACCCATTTACCATCAAGGATGAGAACTAGATTGTCTGATTTGAAGGTACACTGAAACATTAACACAGTACAATGGGAATAACTTTTTAATTATGCCAGTGACCCCATGGGCCAGCTGCTAATCTTGAATGTATGTTGTCTCACAGACAAATGCAATCCGTATGGAGAAATACCTTACTAAGCTCTGTCTCCCATGGTGATTTTGTGCTTATCACCACATACAGCTGATTCAAGCTCTTTCAGTCTATTTCTTCAGCTTTTTGGGATGTCCTGACTGGGCCTTCTAGTCCTACTGCCCTGCCATCAAATCACTATAAGAAGATGATATTTAGGTAACTGAGATAAAAATTATCTCAGCCTGACCAAAAATCCCATTCAACATCTCTGCTTTCCCCTACTCATGGGCTACCTAGAGAAAGTCACATTATTTTCCTCTTGACAGAGTCTTCAGTGTACAAGATGATAATATCAGGAAATTAGAGAGAGGTTGTCTGTGGCAGTGAAGTGCACTGAGATGAAGAAAAGCCCCCAGTAGCCCTCCTCAACACTGCCATACTGAATAAACTCCCTTTTAACCTTTGGGAGCAAATAGCATAAGCATTAAAAAAAAAAAATCGGTCATCTAGAGAAAAAAGTATATCTAGTAGACATATAAATGTCATTGAAAATCTGCCCTTTACTCATTTAAATATTTTAAGTGCCCTGCAAACGTTAACTAGTCTCATTTTTACTAGGTAATTTCCTGGATTAAAGATTGAGCTATTTGAATTGCTAATCTCCAGTATTAACAAAAGACTGCTTCTGCCTTTTTTTCTGAAATGTTGATATATCAAACTCTCTTCCTTCTTTTCAGTCATCTTCTAAATATGGCTTAGACGTTTTAAGCTCATTTCAAACATGCCTTTACGCAAATGCAGCCTTTCTAAATATGTCATTTGTTTGTATTCATTGAAGTAGGCATGGCCTATCCACCCCTCTGTATGGATTGCATGCTGACTATGCTTTCTTCCCCCTTCATCCCTTTCTGCTCCCCAAAACCCTCAAAGGCTCTGGAGGTTTGACTATATACGTGGGCAGGGGGGGTCTCTTTTATTAGTCTAATATCAAACTCATGAGAAAGCGAATACATCCATTTGCAGCTTTCAAGCCTCCCAGGGGTAAATTGATCTATCTCCACCGGTATTAGGTAGATATATCAATTTTTCTTTTTCTAGAGGTGAGCTGAGAAAATGCTCATTATGTTGGTTCACACATGTTGGCTGACATCTCTTCTTTCTTTTCCTAACTAACAGTGTCTTTCATGAAGACTAAATTATTCTCTGCTCACCCTGACAAATGGAAAATAATTTCTATTCACTGTATTGATAAGGCTAGCTCGAGAGATTCCCTTATATCTTTACCTCTACTTGTTCATCTCAGCAGAGTAGCCATTCATAGTTAACATCTTTGCCTCTGTAATCCTTTTTACTAGGAGTAATGTAAGTGTTGAACCCAACGCATATTGCCTGGTATCGTCCACAGATCCACTGAGTTTCAACAAGATTACTACATGCTAAATGTTCAGCTGCTGGAGTCTGAAGTAGCTCCAGTGAAGTCCATGGTGGTGGGTCAATTCATAGCAATTGACTCTTTTTCAGTAAAAATATGATCCTGCAAGTGTTTCCAAACCCAGGTGCCATGTCACTACTTGTATGTTTACATTAGTAAGGAAACAGGCTCAGAAATTGAAAGTGTTAGGTAGATATAGCTACCCACACTGCCTATAATAACAGTGTCATTGACAGAAAATGTTTCAGAAGAGTGAATGTCTCACACTTGGCAAATTCAAGAAGGGCCTCTGGAGATTTGGTGCAAAGCGCAAGTTTAACCGGCAATTACATTGATGAATGCTTTAATCATTAATAAAACAGGAGAAACTGCAATAGAACAATTATTTTATTTTTCAGGCACCCTGCCACCAAGGCATTTGAGATGCATAAACAACAGATTTGGTGACGTAGCACCATAAAACACTGATGGGAGGAGTTTTATGAACAATATGTGTAAAGCTGAAAGGAGAAGAAGCTGACCAAGGACCTGATTTTGTCTTCAGTTACCTGAGCATCCTTTACCTCCTGTAACCGAGGTTGCACAGCTCGCTCAGGGAGAGCTCTGGGGTTGGTTATATTTTAGGATATATTATAGGAGACAGTCACACCTCCAGCACCCCAGCACTTCAGGCACAATGTCAGGGCCAGCAAGACGCACCGGAAGAGAGGCAAAGTTGCTCTCTCCTTTCCCTCCCTGCTCCCTCAGTCAAGGAAATATTGAGCCCTGGAATAGTGCAAATAGAGTGAGAACAGAACAAAATGCAGAATCAGAGCCAGAAAACAAAGAATGAGCAACTAGCCAGCACTGTGACAAAAATAATTAAAAAATAAATCAGTAATATTACTGAGCAATTCTGTGGCAGAGGCAGGGTTGTAATCCAAGTACTCCAGGGCATCGTTGCCTGTCTTAAACTTTGGACCCTCTTCCCTCATACACTAGGTGAATCCTTTTGAGCAGCATCTGCTGATACTTTAAATGCCTTCAAAGTGCAACAGGCACTGCTGGGATTTCTTCATTCAGCATTTCATTCAAACCCCCCTCTTTCATCCCCAGGTTTCACCAGAATGTCCTGAGAAATCATTCAGACTTGAGCTGTGGGTCTGTCTCTCTTCCCACCCCAGCTCAACATCTTTCACAACATGTTATTAATCAGAAATCCTCATGCCGGTGATCTTTAACACTTGAAAACATTGTTTTGCAACGTCAGTGTTTTCTCCAGTTGGAAGCAGACGTGCCCTCAGACAGACCAGCAGCAGAGCTCAGCACAGGCACTCCCGCTGCCCTAAACGTAGCAGCTGTAGCCAGCTATCATCCTCCAAGGAAAAGCCAGCGGAGGGGGGTGACACACATGTGCAGCCGAGGGAGCTCAGAGGTATTTACACTCAGTGCAATCAAGTCCTGAGCTTAGCGGTGGGACTGAGACACCGTGCTTCTTATTCACCCATGCCTGCCCTTGTCCTGTCTTTTCTCCGGCCCCGGACATACTTTCCCCATCTCCTCCTATGTCTGCCCACCTACCTATGTCTCTCCCAGAGACACCTACCCGACCCAGAGCCCAGCCTCTTGCCTCTGCATCCTAGTCTGTCCTCCTACACTTTCCCCCTCCCTTTCCTGTTGCCATCTCTTTTACCCCAGTTCCTGCCAAATCCCACCCCCACCTCCCTTTGGGGTATTAAGCCTTGAGGCCACTCCGCTCGTTGACACCTAATCCCCAAAGCAGCGCCTCTAGTGGAGGGTAAGGTCCTTTAATACAAAAAAATTCAATAGGAGTAAAATGTTTGTAAACAGATTATTCTGAAGATCATCTCCAATCTCTTTCTTTCTCTTAGAGGTTTTGAATGCTGATGCTCATCACCATCATGCCACTTCTCTGATAATCTCAGGCTACAAAAACACTTCAGCATGCTACACATACAGACTGCTTGTGAATGGTCTGCAGCACAAAACTGAAGTAAAGAACTGCTAGTATTAAACCCTTAGGGAATTGGGTTTACACATTACATAATCCAAGAATTTTTTTTTTATACATTTAAGAGTATATCTAATTTTAACTGGGATTTGACGTATTGCCTAATCTGCAGCAAACATTAAACCGCATTCTAACCCGCTTCTTCTTTATAAGCAGCTATCACGCCTTAGCCTGATGTGTTGCAACTCACCCAAAACTTCCCTTGATCTGAGTGATAACTCTCGCCCCGGAGGAGGACGCTGATCCCACAAGAGAAAGGCCCTGTGGATCACAATAAGAGGCGTCTGACAACAAGGGGAATATAATTTTTGTTAATTATCCTGCAGTAGGGCGATTTGTGAGTGGGCTACAGAACAACAGCCTCTTCACACAGTTTTTTCTAATGAGAAATAAGTAGGGTCAGTCTTACTAAGTATAGAAGTACTGTTGGAAATTTAAATAGTCCTGGAGATAAGAGTACAAGTCCCTTCTGTCTCCAAAAAAATGCA